CAGCCAACAGGAGACACCTCTGACACTCAGGGACACACAGCAACAATACGATGCAATTTTCAAAGAGCTGCCTTAACAAACTACTATTTGTTCTGGTATAAACAGAAAAATGGAGATTTTCCAAATTACATTTTACGGCGAGACACACTTGAGAATATTTTCTTCAAAACATACAAAAATCTCCAGAATTTGAACAAACCCAAGTTTGATGCTGAACTGAAGGAGAACTCTTTCACCCTGAAGATCCAGGATGTGGATGTGACAGACTCTGCTGTGTACTACTGTGCTGTGAGGCCCACAGTGACAGGAAACACCAAAACTCTGAACAAAAACCTGTGAGAGAAAACAGCAGTACTCCACACGTCCTCTAGAGGGAGACACTTTCTGAGACTGCTCCACAAAAGCCTCCTGTGGTAGAAGCTGCTGCATCTTCTCACTGTTCCAGATCTGTAAAGTGATTTTAATGTCGGTACAAACTGTAGTTTGTGCAGGAATGTGAATTCACTGTGAAGATTCATTTTTCCAATAAACTGAACTTTTGTCACAAACAAACCAGAGTGGATTTAGAATGAAACACAGGTCCACATGTTTTCAGACAGAAACAAGAACAAGTCCAGGAGGTGGGTCAGGAGCACAGAGGTCAGTCACTGCTGGAGCATCAATCTTCAGAGACTCCTGAAATAAGAAGTGAACAAGCCCCAAGAGCCAGACTGACACAGATCCACACTTTAAACACACTTCAGTAAAAGGGGGAATTCAGTTTGTCAAATAGGTTTCTCAGCTCGTCCAAGCTGCTTCTTCAGTTCTGGTCAGACGCTGGTAACACTTCCTTATATCTGTCTGCAGGAGGAGCTAACTACACTGAAACTCCTCTGAAACTAACACACCACTGTTTACAGTTTCTGTTTTGCAGCTCAGCCTATTGAAAACCTGTCACTGAGTGTAGGTCATATCAGCAGAATCATTCAGGGTCAAATGAAGCTTTCACACCTCTGGACCTGAACCTCACTCCCCTGTTGTTCTCTTGTTTTGTTTTGATTTCAGTTTGAGGATGGAGTTTGTAAATAGGACATAGATGTTGTCCTCTTTCTGTTCAAGAATGGATTCTCTTTCTTAACAAAAACAGCCTCTTTAATTCTCCTCTCAAACCAGTTCTTTTCTCTGGATCAGATCTGTACCTCACTGTCCTCAAAGGAGTGACCCGAGGCTTTTAGGTGCAGATGAACAACAGACTGAGGTCCTGTGTTGTTCTCTCGTCTGTGTTGGTTCATCTTCTTTCTGTCTTAAAGTGTTTGTAGGTTTGAAATAGTCTGGGATTTCATGTTGTTTTAAAAATCCTCTGTAGTTTTCAGAAACATTCAGCCATGTAGGGAATAGTTATGTTCTTTCTCCTGGTTCTGATTCTCTGTTGTCCTGTTTTTTAGCCTCTTTGTTTTACTAAAAGTCCATTTCAGATCTGCACAGACAGAGAGAGCTTTCTGCACATGTTCTTCTTCTTTCTCATTTCCCTCTGTGCTTGTTGGAAATATTATAAATATGTATGTTCACATGAACAGTTCCAGTTTTGTCAGTCAAATAAAACGTCTCCATCTTACAGTGAAATGTGTGGACTTGTCTCAGAGCAGAGCAGTAACAGAGGAGGCTGCAGAGAAAAGTCTGTGCCTTGTTCTAGTTCAAACTCTCTGGGCTCAAAGGAGACGAGCTGCAGACGAACACAGCAGTCCATAAAGTGAAGGAAAAACAGATTGTGTCTGATCTCATGTATTTAGAGACGTCCAACTGCATCAGTGTCACCACCACAGAGACCTGAGGGAGGAGCCAGACTGTAAGAGAGGAGCAGACACAGACACTTGAGAGGATTTGAGCTTTTAAGATGGAGTGTGTCCTGTGTACACTGCTCTCAGCTCTGGTTGTGCTCCTGTGTTCTTCCCCAGAGTGTAAAGGAGAAGACACAGTGACCCAGCCAACAGGAGACACCTCTGACACTCAGGGACACACAGCAACAATACTCTGTACTTTTCAAAGAGCTGCCTTAACAAACTACTATTTGTTTTGGTATAGACAGAAAAATGGTGATTTTCCAAAGTACATCTTATGGCGAGACACAATTGGAGGAGAAGCCAATTCTCCAGACTTCACAAAACCCAAGTTTGATGCTGAACTGAACGAGAACTCTTTCACCCTGACAATCCAGGATGTGGATGTGACAGACTCTGCTGTGTACTACTGTGCTCTGAAGCCCACAGTGACAGGAAACACCAAAACTCTGAACAAAAACCTCTGGAGCAAAGACAACACAATACTGCAGTAGCTCCACTAGAGGGAGACACTCTCTGTGAAGCTTCAGACTAAACACAGACGCAGCAAAGCCAACTGTCAGTGTGAGAAACTAAGCAGACTTCAGAAAGTTCACATGAGGATCACTCAGCTGTGTTTTGGACACATGTTTCCTTTAATGGCAGCACTGCTCCTGCTTTTGTTGAGTGGTAAGTCTTATTGAAACCTATGTTCACACTTTATTACATCCACTCAACACTTACTGAAGCACAGAGCAAGAAGCAGCAGGAAATATGTTCCTAACTTCTACATTCATTTGTTTTCTTGTAGGAGTCAGATGTGAAGTGCTCACTGCTCTAAAGCCTGAGGTCTGCGCTTCAGAAGGCTCCTCTGTCTCTCTGGGATACTCTGATGAGAGAAAAACTACTTGGATTGATGATTTTTATTGGTATCGACAATATCCAAGAAATCCTCCAGAATTCATCTATTCCCATTTGGGAACAGGAAAAGAAATTAAAAGTGAAATTTCAGGACTTTCAGTCCAAATAAGCAAAGACCGAAGTCGTCTCCATGTGCTGTTGTTGTCTGCTGCAGTGGGAGACTCTGCTGTGTACTACTGTGCTGTGAGGCCCACAGTGACAGCAAACCCACAGTCTCTGAACAAAGACCTGTGAGAGAAAACAGCAGTATTCCACACGTCCTCTAGAGGGAGACACTTTCTGAGACTGTTCTACAAAAGCCTCCTGTGGTAGAAGCTGCTGCATCTTCTCTGAGTGACAGAGAAACTTCCTGCACACTTTGATTTAAACTCTTTTACAGCCAATGCAGTTTGGGTTCAGACAAAAGTTTTCATCACATTTAGTTTGTTGTTTCTTCTCTGTTCGGGGACTGCAGGTGGAAATGAATCATTTTACTGTTGTGAGGGTTTTGGTGAAATGTTTGGAATGAACTTTGAATGGGACAGGAAGTTCTGGACGAGGTGATTTATGACTGTGAGAACAAATTTAACTGTCACCAAGGAAGACAAAATCTGGGCCCGTTAACAATAAAATTTATTACAAAAAGGTTTATTAAAAACAATGATAAAAAATGCCCAGAAAAGGTTAAAAGTCAATCAGTAAAATACTAGAAGTCAATAAATAAAACAGAGTGGGCTATTAATAGTGAAAAGTTATTTAAAAAGCACCAGTCCAGGGTAAAGTGCAGACAGTCATTGGACCAGAGCAGCTCCACTTCGGGTCTGGTGGTCCAGTGTTGGTCAGATGGTCTGGAGGCTCCATCCTCCATGTCCTGGTTCCAGACGGGGGTGAGTAAGACCAGCGGACAAAGGACTGGGTCTGAGTGTTTCAGTGTCGTCATCTGTGCGCTTGTTCTGTGTGGGGAAAGTGAAAATGTGCTGTGGACTACAGGTTCATGCGGCTGGTTCTGAGGTGGATCCGGATAGAAGCGTGAATCCTGTTTGGTTCGTTATGTTCTTCTAAGCGTCCGTCTGCGCACGTGTTGTTTTTCCAGGGAAAACGTTTCTCAGGTGGAGGCACCAGACACCACTCCCCACTTCAGTTCATCTGTTTCTTCTGCTGAAACACTTTTCATGTGTTTCATTCACACACAGCTGATGTTTCATATCCATGAGCAGAGATGAACAAGAGCTCGGAGGTCAGTGATTTTGCCACTTCTTTAACAGATCTGTGGAGAGGCGAGCCGCTCACTAATGCAGGTTTTTCAAGGTATTTTTGAGTAAAACTTACAACTGTAATGAAATAATCCAGGTGCTGCCCAGAGGCTCGGTGGAGTTCTGACAGCGCTCGATGAAAGATTAATGTGTGTTGATGTAAACGAAAAAGATGCTGTGAGCATGATATTATTTTGAAAAATGGAGGGAGGGAAATATTTGTTTCTCAAAATACCCGGCTCTCTGTAAACGAAGCCTAATAATCTAGTGCACTCTGGATTTCAATCAGAAGTCAACATGTCATGAATGAAACCACAAACACATGACCTTTTTTGTCTACGGCAGAGTTTTATGTCCCTGATCAACAAACTACTGAAAACTGAAAGAAAAACAGATTGTGTCTGATCTCATGTATTTAGAGACGTCCAACTGCATCAGTGTCACCACCACAGAGACCTGAGGGAGGAGCCAGACTGTAAGAGAGGAGCAGACACAGACACTTGAGAGGATTTGAGCTTTTAAGATGGAGTGTGTCCTGTGTACACTGCTCTCAGCTCTGGTTGTGCTCCTGTGTTCTTCCCAGAGTAGAAAGTGAAAGAAAAGGAGAAGACACAGTGACCCAGCCAACAGGAGACACCTCTGACACTCAGGGACACACAGCAACAATACTCTGTACTTTTAAAACTGTGAGCTCAGACCCACGTCTGTTCTGGTACAAGCAGGAAAATGGGGGTTTTCCAAAATATATGATGAGAAGATTCAAGTCTGGATTCTCAGATAATTCTCAAGAGTTCAACAAACCCAAGTTTGATGCTGAGCTGAATGGAAACTCTTTGTCTCTGAAGATCCAGGATGTGGATGTGACAGACTCTGCTGTGTACTACTGTGCTCTGCAGCCCACAGTGACAGGAAACACCAAAACTCTGAACAAAAACCTCTGGAGCAAAGACAACACAATACTGCAGTAGCTCCACTAGAGGGAGACACTCTCTGTGAAGCTTCAGACTAAACACAGACGCAGCAAAGCCAACTGTCAGTGTGAGAAACTAAGCAGACTTCAGAAAGTTCACATGAGGATCACTCAGCTGTGTTTTGGACACATGTTTCCTTTAATGGCAGCACTGCTCCTGCTTTTGTTGAGTGGTAAGTCTTATTGAAACCTATGTTCACACTTTATTACATCCACTCAACACTTACTGAAGCACAGAGCAAGAAGCAGCAGGAAATATGTTCCTAACTTCTACATTCATTTGTTTTCATGTAGGAGTCAGATGTGAAGAGCTCACTGCTCTAAAGCCTGAGGTCTGCGCTTCAGAAGGCTCCTCTGTCTCTCTGGGATACTCTTATTACAAAGAACCAACGTACAGTGATTATTTCTACTGGTATCGACAATATCCAGGAAAACCTCCAGAATTCTTGGTTTCACATTTTGGAACTGGAACTGTAATAACAGAGAAAATAACAGGATTCAAGTTTGACGTGAAAAGTAAAGTCATATCTCTGCTGGTGTCGTCTGCTGCAGTGGGAGACTCTGCTGTGTATTACTGTGCTGTGAGGCCCACAGTGACAGCAAACCCACAGTCTCTGAACAAAAACCTGTGAGAGAAAACAGCAGTACTCCACACGTCCTCTAGAGGGAGACACCTGCTGTGTCTGTGTCAGTGTCTCTCCTGATACCTGAGGCCTCTGACATGAGCTTCATGAAGCGTCACAGTCAGTACGTTTACATGCACAGACTTGTGTCCCAGACTCCAGCAGGTCAAACCTCTGAACAGCTGTGAACGGAGGATCAGAGGATCAAACTGTGTCATTATTCTGTGTTTAAAACAGCTCACACACACAAACTCTTTTACTCATTCAGAGAAGAGACAACTCATTTTCTTGAAGCATTTGATTTTTAGAGCTGTTTGAAAATGTGTTGCTCACAGATCATTTGTGGATCCAAAAGTCCTTTTGGAGCGTGATGCGAGTGGACTGTTACATGCAGCTGTGCTCCAAGTACATCACACTTCTCCAGATTTAAATTAGGTTGATTTAGGTGAAATTCACTGTTACTGTTATTTTTAGTTAATTTTTAGGTCATATTTAAAAACAGATGGTCGAACTAATGGCATTTTTGCATCACATTCTATCCTGTAAATAATGTAGCCTAAGTAAAGTACCGCTATAATTCTTTAGAGGACATCGTAAATGCATGTGCGCCATGATAATTAATGATATGTGTAAATGCTGATCATTCACACTTCTATTCACAGCTCATTTACATATCAATGTGTGTTCAATCACATGTACAGACACTATAGTCACTTTACACTAGACCAATGTAAGAAAACAGACTGTTTATGTTTATTTATGTTCATGTTTATATTTGTTTATGTTTATGTTCATGTTCATGTTTATGTTTATGTGCGAGCTACAGCAGCGAAACAACAAAAAAGAATGAAAAGTAACTTCAAAACCGGCACATTTGTAACACTCAGCCTCACAGATGCTCCTCTCAGATCACAAGTCTGCACTAATAAGTGTCCTTTTAATCCTGATTCATTTTGGTTTGCCCCAAGGTTCTGTTCTTGGCCTCCTCCTCTTCATCACTGACCTTCTACCCCTGGGCAACATTTGATGTAAATTGAACTTTCATTTTCACATGAGTGTGTCTGAACTCCCTCTCACCTCCACAACAGAGACTCTGTGCACATGTTCAGAGTCAGACTCAAAGCCTCCTGTTCACCAGCATTTTCTCTCTCATGTCACTCTTCATTTTCTCTACTGTATTTTAACTGTTACCTGTTGTATTTTTATGTCTTTGAAGCTTTTGTAAAGTGTCCTTGAGTGTAAAGAAAGACACTGTTAACTCTTACAAACTGTTCATTTCTTAAGCCTTCACAGTAATTTGACTCAGACCAAGAATTCTTTCATTGTGTCTATGTTGACCTACAGATCTATTTAGAATGTCTAAATACACTGTCCCACATTAATAAATAAATGTAATATATAAATATAATGTTTCAGAGAGCAGGAAGAGCATATTTTTGTAACTTTTACAACACTCGTTTTTGGAGAAAAAACATCGACTATGACAAATATCATGTCCTGTTTTACAAAACACATAAAAACATAAAACCCATTATGATTTATATTTTATTACATTTGAAAATGACATTAATATTCTGGAACTGTTGGAATTTACAATATAACCATTTTTATCCACAGTAATGAGTCATTTTTATTTATTCAAACTTTTATGGCTTAAATTTGATTGAATCTTAAAAAATAACAGAAATCTTTCCAGTGTTGCAAATAAAAAGTGCAGATGATAAATAGTGAGTCCAAAAAGAACATAGTTGCAGCTTTCATATATTGAAGGGTAAGTGGGTACAGTGATTATGGTGACAGGTGCACAGGACAGGTGATCAAAACTAACACTCGAGCTAAAACACTTCAAACAAACATCTGACTCGCCCACTGTGATTGTGACGTCCTTAATAAACATTATTACACAAATATACATATTCTGGAATCAAATGTTTTTATCTTTTTTATCTCACAGTGTAGATCCAGTTTATGTTTTTCCCAAACTGAAAGTTGAAAAGTGTGAAACTAATATTTCTCACAAGAATCTGTAAACTCTGTGACTTCTACAGTGAACTGTGGGAGGAGCATGTCCTCCAAAAAGGACTGTGAGACTGGAGCAAAAAAAGAAGCAAAGAGTGTCACCAACTGAAACAAACACTTGTGAAGACTTTTTAAGATGGAGTGTGTCCTGTGTACACTGCTCTCAGCTCTGGTTGTGCTCCTGTGTTCTTCCCAGAGAGTGTAAAGGAGAAGACACAGTGACCCAGCCAACAGGAGACACCTCTGACACTCAGGGACACACAGCAACAATACTCTGTACTTTTACAACAACGGATACAACCCCATATCTGTACTGGTACAAACAAGAAGGACGAGGAGCTCCAAGATACATGATTAAAGAAAACTAAAACATCATCAAAGTGGCTTGACACAGTTAAATCTTCAGAGTTCAATGAAGAGCGATTTTAAAGTTGAAGCTGAGGGAAACTCTTTCTCTCTGAAGATCCAGGATGTGGATGTGACAGACTCTGCTGTGTACTACTGTGCTCTGAAGCCCACAGTGACAGGAAACACCAAAACTCTGAACAAAAACCTCTGGAGCAAAGACAACACAATACTGCAGTAGCTCCACTAGAGGGAGACACTCTCTGTGAAGCTTCAGACTAAACACAGACGCAGCAAAGCCAACTGTCAGTGTGAGAAACTAAGCAGACTTCAGAAAGTTCGTCTTTGTGTCTGTCGCCCTCTGACCTTTGCTCTTCCTTGGTCCCCGGTGCAGCTCCGTGTCCTCCGCTCTCCAGGTTGTTTCTCGCTCTTTAGTCGACTTTATTAACTCAGTTTGATCCTGACTCGGTTGTTGGGTTTGGTGCCGTGGCCTGTTCCCTGGCGCCGCATGTTGTGCTCCGTTGACGTGAGCGCTGGTCCAGGATAGTTGCGGTGACGCTGCTGAAGCCCCACGATGCACGTTCCTGTGAGGAGAAAGTGGAATGTTGGAGCTATGGACCTTTGTTGCCAGTTTAGTTGTAGGATTAACAGTCACTTCATTCTTATTTGTAGATGTGACTTCTGGGAGCTGCGCTGTGGCTGCTGGAGCCGTCGCTTTGCCGTTTTGTGATTGACTGGACTGACTTGTCCATCTTGCTCCGTTCAGATGGGCCTGACCTGTGAATCTCACTGTTAACTTACTCCACAACTTGTTTTTTCACCAACTTTGAGCTGAACCAATGAAACACACAGAACTATTTATGCACATGTCCTCTCAACTAAACTCTGTGTAAAATAAATGTACAACTTTAAAAAAATGGAACCTTGTGTCTGTTTTATCAAGAACGAACCTGTGTGACCTTTTAGTTCTTTTCTGGACTGTGCCCAGTGCTGTTGCTTGGTTATAATTTAGATATTATTTAATTTTCTTGACCATCATCACTCGTCTCTCCACAATAAAAGCACTAAAACTACAGAGAAGAGACAACTCATTTTCTTTAAACATTTTATTTTTAGAGCTGTTTGAAAATGTGTTGCTCACAGATCATTTGTGGATCCAAAAGTCCTTTTGGAGCGTGATGGGAGTGGACTGTTACATGCAGCTGTGCTCCAAGTACATCACACTTCTCCAGACGTGTTGATGTGATTTGGGAGATTCAAATCATCATCAAAACCACATTCACACACTTGAAAAAACAGTCGCTCTAATAAAAAACACAAATGACCTTCTCTGTGCTGCTGATTCTGCCTCAGCTCCATCCTCATCTTCTTCCATCTGAGTTCAGACTTTGACTCCATTTCTCAGCCCGTCCTTCTCCACAGACTCTCCTCCATCAGCATCACAGTGTGCACTGGGTTCAGGTTTGAGAAAAAACACACGAACCACTGACACACTGATGTGACAAGACCTGAGGGAGGAGCCAGACTGTAAGAGAGGAGCAGACACAGACACTTGAGAGGATTTGAGCTTTTAAGATGGAGTGTGTCCTGTGTACACTGCTCTCAGCTCTGGTTGTGCTCCTGTGTTCCTCCCCAGAGTGTAAAGGAGAAGACACAGTGACCCAGCCAACAGGAGACACCTCTGACACTCAGGGACACACAGCAACAATACTCTGTACTTTTAAAAGTTTTGACACAACCCCACGTCTGTACTGGTACAAACAAGAAGGACAAGCAGCTCCTAAATACATGATGAGAATATTTCTTCAAAACATACAAAAATCTCCAGAATTTGACAAACCCAAGTTCGATGCTGAAAGGAATGGAACCTTTCTGTCTCTGAAGATCCAGGATGTGGATGTGACAGACTCTGCTGTGTACTACTGTGCTCTGCAGCCCACAGTGACAGGAAACACCAAAACTCTGAACAAAAACCTCTGAAGCAAAGACAACACAATACTGCAGTAGCTCCACTAGAGGGAGACACTCTCTGTGAAGCTTCAGACTCTTTAGATTCAATGATTATATAATATATGTTGATCCACAATCCAGCACAGCAGAGGAACATCTACCTGCATCACTCTCAGACTCTCAGCAAGCAGAGCCACAGAGTCAAAGAACATGATTGTCACAGAGGTGGACAGCTTGTCCAGGTGGGTGTGGACTCTGTGGAGCAGGTAGATAATGGCGTCGTCCACTCCGAGGTGGGGCTGGTAGAACTGGAGAGGCTCCTCTACATGAAACCTTTATTAAGTTGTTCTTAGTCGTTCTTGTGTGTTTTTATCTGTGTGTTTTGGGTCATTTTCCTGTTGAAGACACATGACCTACGACTGAGACCAAACTTTCTGACACGAGGCAACACATTTTGTTCCAAAACACCTTGATAGTTTTTAGATTCTGTTGTATTTTACACAGATTCAAGACGCCCTGAGCCAGATGCAGCAAAACAGCCCCAGAACAAAACCAAACCTCCTCCGTGCTTCACAGTAGGGACAGTGTTCTTTTCTTGGTCTGCTTCATTTTTGCGTCTGTGAACATAGAGCTGATGTGTCTTGCCAAAGAGCTTGTTTTGTCTCATCTGTCCAAAGAACATTCTCCCAGAAGCT